ATGGATGGAATAAACTAAACCACAGAATAAATAATAGAGTGCCCACTCTCAGATGCCGCCTTTGAAGTCTGTCAGTACGCGATCGCCAAATTTTAGACGGAAACATAGACTTGAATTGAGAAATTTGTGACTAGTTAGGACAGAACTGTAATTTAAATTTTTAGAGATTAATAATCTAGTAAATTTGAAATAATTTAATCTATTCTTCAGCTAAATGTACGAATAAAATAGTGCATATTATATCTATGGTTGTCGTAAATAAATTAAACCGGGTTAATTTTTCTATGCACACAAGAAAAAATTGTACTGAACAGCACTGGTTCCGTTTAAAACATGCCTGATTCTTTCTGTGCGAACGAGACGCGCGTAAGCAGAGGGGGGCATTCTGATTGTTTATTATTCTGTGACTATGCGGTGTTATATTTTATGTTTGATGTATATTCATTTCTTGGAGTTCCAACCTTATATGTTTCCACACTCTAAACAATAATTCTAAAATTGTTTAATATGAATTGAGTTTCACTAAACCCTGTTAAGTGAAATCTTGATCGACGAACCAAACCATACGTGTCATATTCTAAGACATCCAACCTGTTTTATCAAACCTACAATTTACACATCGGTTAAAAATAAAACAGAAACAACAATAAAAAGGAACTTAAAATGCGTACGCTCAATTAACACAACTTGTCTTTGTACTATTATTTAAAGCAAATTTTTGTACCATACCATACATATTGTAAAAAGGAAACGCACAGAGTACCTTAGTTATTTTGCTTTTTATTTATCACAATCGAGTAAATGAGGTAGCCTCAAAAAGTGACTAGGGCGTCATATCTACTACATATTTTTATACTCTGCTTTTTAGAATTCTAGTACTTAATTGGTATACATAAAAGAAAAAATAAATATTAAATTGGTCCAAAATTAATATTACATATATATTTTTGGTATCACATAAATAAAACTGCTAGATCCAAGATCCATGGAATATACTTGTATATTATATCGATGAATAGGTGTGACAGTGTAGGAAATACGTTGGAGAAATAAATATATGTGACAATTGACAGTTAAGTCACATTGAATATAATACAGACCTTATACGGACTTTATAATATAAACTGAGGGCAACCATTTAATTACTGCTCTATAGATGGAGCAGTAATTGAATATTTGTGAAGAACAACTTTCTAAAGCTCTGGAGAGATTAGCAAATGCCGAAAGATCTTAATCTTGATGTATGAAAAATCCGAATCTGATCTGATCATGAAATCCGGAAACCAAGATCCGGCAGGGAAAGAAAAGATCATGTAAAAGATATCTTTCCAGGTCGATAGCAAGCAAAATCCTCGTTTAAATAATAAAATTCCACATATAAGAATACACAAATGTAGACCAATAAGACGAAGCTTGTACCAGTCAGGAAAATTGGACAATTTAATACAAGAAATGACCAGAATGGAAATAAATATACTGGGCATAAGTGACGTACAATGGCCAGACATCGGCAAACTTATAACTAAAAACGGCATAATGTATTATGCTGGAAACAACGATCCGGCTCATCGCTATGGAGTTGCAATCTTGTTAGATACAGAAACTAATAAATCAGTTATAATGTTCGCTCCTTATTCAGAGAGAGTTATAATGGTTGATCTGAAGACAAACATACAACAAGTTAACTTAATTCAAGTATACGCACCAACAGCGGATAAGGATGAAGAGGAGATAGAACATTTTTACATGGAGTTAGGCACAATTTTAAGATCTATAATAAAAAGAAGACATTACAATAGTAATAGGGGATTTTAATGCTAAAGTCGGGAGAGGAAAAGTTGACGAATACGTTGGGGAATTTTAATACCTAAAAGCAAACCAACGTCTGATTATACAAAATTAAGAAAAAGAGAAATACATCAAAAAGTGCAGTTTCAGAGCAGCCGCCAATATGGCACGGACAGCTGTAATGATAGCCAACCTTCGATAGGAGAAGGAACTACAAGAAGAAGAGAGGAGAGCAATGTCCAGATGGACAAAACGGGTTTAAAAATACTGATACTTATTATTAAAACCAGGACTGATGCAAATACAACCTATATACTCGTAAATATTAGTATTATAGTATCTAAATGACCGTTAAATAGTATCTGAATGATCTAATTACCGCCTTGCAGAGCATCCAACTAGATGAGAAAGACATAAAACTTCTTGCCAAACTTTACTGGAACCAAACAGTCATTATTAATACCAACAACAGAGAATAAAATCCAATCAGTATTGAACGAGGCGTAAGACAAGGCTGTATACTATCTCCCACCCTCTTTAACGTGTATTCCGAGAATCTATTTAGGGAAGCTTTAAAGATCAAAAAGGAATTATCATAGGAGGAGAAATAATTAACAATGTACGGTACGCCGACGATACTGTGATTCTAGCTCAAAACATCGACGATTAGCAGGAGCTAATCAATAGAGTTGACATGGAATGCACAAATTAGGGACTGTCGATAAATATCGATAAAACTAAATACATGGTGACCAGTAAAGTTGATATCGGCGCAACCCAACTGATATTAAACCAACAACCGCTGCAGAGAGTTCAGAGATTCAAATACCTTGGATGTTGGATTACCCAAAATCTAGATCCATCCTTTGAAATTCGATGTAGAATTGAACAGGCAAGAAACTCATTTCAAAAATTTAAGCCTCTATTATCCAATAACTCATTAAATTTGGAAATCCGTGAAAAGTTTACAAGATGTTACGTGTGGTCTGTACTTTTGTATGGATGTGAAACTTGGACTTTAAACGCCGATATCATGAATAAAATCGAGGCGTTTGAGATGTGGTTGTATTGAAGGATACTAAAAATTCCATGGACTAGCAGAACCAGAAACGAAGAAGTTCTTCGAAGAATGGGACATCAACGAACTCTATTAAACATTATTAAGAGGCGTAAACTAGAATATCTTGGACATATAATCAGAGGACCAAGATATGAGTTCCTTCGGCTAATTCTCAACGGTAAAATTGAAGGAAAGAAATGGATAGGACGGAAGAAACTCTCTTGGTTGAGGAATTTGCGGCAGTGGACAGGTTTGACAGCGGACCAATTGCTACACGTAGCGCAAGACCGAGATCAGTATAACAATATTATAAGCATGGTAGTCGCCGACATTCCGTAGGAATATGGCACTCTAAGAAGAAGATCTAAATGAATGAAAATGGAAGGGTAGATATAGATCAGAAATGGCATTCCATAAAAATTATTATTACAAAAGCAGCAGGTAGATGCATTGGAAGAAGGACGACAACAAAAAGAAAAGCACCGCCCTCTTACTGAATTACAAAACAACGCATGGCTATGGAAGTTAGCATTCTATGTTGATTTGACAAAACATGTGAACGAACTGAATTTGAGATTGCAAGGAGAAAACCAGCATCTTCCTGATTTATACACTAATATCAAGTCATTCCGGATGAAATTGATACTGTTTCAATCACAACTACGAAGTAAATGTTTTTCACATTTTAAAACATGTGAAATATTCAGCTACACTACTGAGACTGAGTTTCCTATCGATTTTGCAATCGAAACTTTGAGTGCTTTGAAGATAAATTTTGATACTCGTTTCTCGGACTTTGATGCCATTGCGAATCAAATTAAGATTTTTCAGAATCCTTTTGATGCTGATATTGAAACCCTAGCCCCGGAACTTCAAATGGAAATGATTGATCTTCAGTGCAGTGATATAATTAAGAACAAATATGAAAACTAATCTTTGTTTAAATTTTAGAAGAGTCTTCCACTGACATAATTTGATAATTTGCATAAATTTGCTCGTGGGCTGTTTTCCGTTTTTGGTACTACTTATTTGTGTGAGAAAACCTTCTCCAAAATGAAGTACACAAAAAATGTATACAGATCTAAATTAACTGACGAGCATCTTAAATCTCTTTTAATAATTGGTACAAGTAAAATTAGTCCACAACTACAAACTATTGTCTGTGGAAAATCTCAATTACATACATCTCATTAGCATTTCATATGTCATGTTTGTTATAAGGTATGTGTTGTTCATTACTTACAATGTATAAAATGTTAGTTGGATTCATTTCAATAATTTGTTAGTTATTATATGCTGAAGTTAAATTTACTGCATAAATTATACATGTCTTTACTCATTACCATTCTGTGTTTCTTTATCCAACTTATCACAAACATTTTATTTGCTATAAAAAATATTTGTTCTCTAAAAGGAGTTTTCAAGTATGTCTCCGCGGGCCGGACAAAATTTGTCTGCGGGCCGGATGTGGCCCTCGGGCCGTAGTTTGGAGACCCCTGGTTTAAGACCTTATACACATGCGGCTGGGAATGCGATCGGCCAGGGAGGCGCATTGAGCCCCCTCCCCTTGTTAATGGTATATTTTAATATCATACACATTAAAAATACAATGAGAAAAGTGCTAAAAAGATTAATAAGGCATTTTGTTCTATGTAGACGAAGCAGTAGTAATAAGGAATATCACAAATCAAGATGGCATTGTGTTTTATGTTAATTTTGAACCAATTACAAATATGTATTGAATGTCTTACATTTTAAAAATGATTCTTTATATATAAATAAAGTTCGCACCTCGTTATATTATAAATTATAATATTCGATTGAAATAAAAGTATTCACTGACAATCCTGTGCCTGTAATAATATTGTAGTACATACATACACGACTAAGTAGGTATATTATTGTTTTTAGACACTCAATACATATACAAAACTCTAACAGCCAAATTTTGAATTTCATTTTGATTTTGTCTTGTCAAAAGTCTAAACTACATCCTATTAAATTTTAATGTAGATCAAATCTACGTCATAGCTAATCTTTTACAAATAAAAAATATCACAGCCAAAAATTACCACGCCAATTTTTTGTAGTTTTCCTTCTTCTTTTTTTCATCACATTTAGTACTAGAATTTTCGACTGATTTGTAAAGTGTTTAAGGAAGAATACAAGACGAAATAGTCATATTATTGGAAGCAATCGGAGCAGGCACTTGTAGGTGTAGTGCCTGAGAGGTTGTACCTAGAAACAGATAATATTAAATCCTATAATCATATTATTATGTCATAAGGTACTGTGAAAAAAAATATTAGGTTTAACATTTATGAGACATTATTTAAATCTTTTGATTTTTGATGCCTAAACGGCTATGTGAAAAACCTAACACCCAAAGGTTCTCACATTCTTAGAAACACAGATTGATGGTCTCGGTAATAACAATTTGGAAAACTCTAAGAAGAAAAGGTCCTGGAAAACTAGGGCCTCACGACAAAATTGGTCCTTTGAATGAACCCTACATCTGCAGAGTCTTTAAAGGAAGTTGACCATATGGTCAACTACAAATGTTGCCAAGTAAACTTACTTACTTAAATGCCAGTAGTAAGTTTGGTCCTTCTCGATGAAATACTGTATTCGGTTTTTCGATTCTTGCACTTCTGATTATGTGCTCCAGAGCTAAATTGAAGAGTTCTGGTGAAAGTGCATCTCCCTCTTTTAGTCCATTGTTTATTTCAAATATCTCCGAGTATTGTTGTCCAACTCTCACCTTACATCGTAACCGTTCCATCCACATCCGTATCAACCTGACTAGTTTTTTTTTTCGAAAGCCAAGTTCCTGCATCGCTGTCCACAATCTGGCCCTGCATACTCTATCAAATGCTTGTTTATATCTATGAACATTTGCATCTGATGAAGCTCACGATCAAACTCCCAGCATTTTTCCATTATCTGTTTTATTGTGAATATCTGGTCAATAGTAGAGCGGCCCGGTCTAAATCCGCATTGATAATCTCCAACGATTTCTTCTGTGTATGTTTCGGTTCTTTCTAGCAGGATTTTTGCAAGGATTTTGTAGGTGGTGTTTAGGAGTGTTATTCTCCAGTAGTTAATACATTGATTTTTGTTTTCCTTTTTTGTGTATTGTACAATAACCCATTCTTTCCATTCATTTGGCTTTGTTTCTTCTCGTCAAATGTCTTAAATTAGCTTGAATATAGAACTGTACAATGCTTCTCCTCCATGTTTTAAGCATTCTCCGGGTATACCATCGCTACCTGGTGTTATTACTTCTTCGTATGTCGGGTATTGGTCTTCTATTTGAGCTGTATGTACCACTATGTTTGATGTATTTCTGCCAGATTGGTCGTTCAATAGTTGATAGAAGTATTCCTTCCAGGTTTTTAGGATTTCCTTGTCATCAGTGATAAGCTGTCCGCTGTCGTTTTGAAGGAAGTTTCCTGTTCTTGCTTGGTACCCGGTCTTGATATCTGAAACTCCTTTGAAGAACTGTCTCGTTTGTTTGTTTCTTTCTTTTTTCTGCTATATCTCCCATTATTTGTTCCTGATATTATCTCTTCTTCCTTTTCATTAGTTTTCTTGCCTCTATTCTTCTTTGTCTATACATTTCATTGTTATTGTGTGAGGGGTTTTGTAGCATGTTCCTTCTAGCCATATTTCTTGCTGTTATGGAGTTCAGGCAATCATCATCGAACCATTTTTTTTGTTGTTTTCTTTTTGTGTCCTAGTATTTCATCTGATACGCTTTTCGGAGCTAATTTGATATTTTTCCAAGCTGAGTGTATGTTTTTATAGTCTTCTGTCTGTATTAAAGTGATTTTTATAGCCTTTTGAAATTTCTGTTCTGTCTCCTTATTATGTAGAACTTCGGTATTCCATAATTGTGTTGGTGTATTCTTGTGTGTGTGTTTTGGACACTATTCTTGTCCTTATCTTCGCTTTTACCAGAAAATTATCCGTGTCTTCATCAGTTCCTCTTAGGCTTCTTACGTCTAAGGGCGTAAGATCTGGCATCTTCTAGAACATGATCGATCTGATTTCTTGTGACGCCGTCGTTGGAGGCCCATGTTTGTTTGTGTATTTTCTTGTGTTCGAACATTGTCGATTTTATTAGTAGGTTGTGGGACGCTGCAAAGTGTATTCACCTTGTTCCATAATCGTTGCTGACATCGTGAAGACTATGGTTACCTATTGTTGACAAGTAAGCATATTATCACAAAAAAGTCACGCTGATTAGAATCCGTAAAAAATGTTTGTCCTAAACCATAAGTTTTTTGAAATAATACGAATCACAAAAAAGCTGCATCTTGCATGCTTAGTAGGACCTTTAGCAAAATCCAAGTATATTGCACTAATTAGAGCCATAATTTAAGTTAATCATTCACACAGCGTACGTGTAATATTCTTAAAAATCCTAGTCGGATTTTCAAAAATTGCTGTTAAATCTAAACACTACGAGAATTTATATTACTTTAGCACTTACTTTGTTGCGACAGTTCTGCTTTGACTCTCCTAGCAATATGCGACCTGGTATGCTTTCTCAGATGATCCTTCCTGTAAAATCCTTTTCCACACTCTGGACATAAATGTCTCTTTTCTCCCGAATGTATAACAAAATGCAGAGTGAGTTGTTCCTTCCTTTTGAACGCCTTGAGGCACACCGTACACACATAGGGTCGTTCCGGATTGTGAGACTGCTTGTGCCTGGTTAAATGGTCTTTCCTTTTTAGACCGGCACCGCAAATGTCACACACGAAACGTCTTTCTAGAGTGTGGCCTACCAAATGCTGCTCTAGTAATTCTTTTTCTGGGTAAGCCATGTGGCACTCGGGGCAACAGTAGAGAGTCGAGCCGTCTAGGGCTGTTGTAAGACGAATTTCCCCTAAAACAATTTTGCATCTTATTTATATAACGGTCTTGTAATATAATGTAATGTTTATTTACAGACTTGCCATTTTTTTACAAATCACCTTAAATTTAGCTAAAACTATTAAAGCACAATGTGATTACATAAAAATCTCATTCTTAATAATACTGACTAGAACATATTTACTGAACCTTTATAAAACTCACCTGGTTTAGGTCTGGGCTTCCTTTCTTTCTCAACTTTTTTCTTCTTTTTCTTCGTCTGTGCAACATTCTGAATTTGACCGGTGTTCAAAGTGTTCAAAGTATTCAAACTATTAGTCGCCAAACTGTTAACGGTAGACCCAAAACTTGTATTTAGATTTAAATTTAACGAATTATTCTGAATCAAATTGTTATCTGTATTATTAGGAATATTCAGCTGCTGGATATTTTCTTTCTTCAAATTTTCCGAAGAATACTTCAAAAAATGATGGATGCTTAATGGTAGAGTGGACGACGGCAAATGGGACAAATAGTTGGCAACAGTAGCACTAGGCGTGGTCAATGATTGCCAAGCAGAAGGCATAGTAGGATTGTTTTGGTTTTGTTCAGGTTGGCTGATTTGCGTCGGGGGTTGTTGAATAATTCTTTGCTGATTTTGCGGAGGCGATGATCTTGTTTCCAATTTGGGCTAAAAATAATTCATTATTACTCATTTTACAGATTTTAGAAACCGAAATCGATGAAGAATTAATATAGTTAACATTGAACACCGACCGTTTAATAGGGGGTTTAAATAATGTACAGCTACTACATGGAGTACTGAGTTGTTCGGAAATTATCTTATACACTCTTTAGTGTATACAATACTTATTATAATAATAAATTCCACATGAAGAAAAATGGTAGAATATTCACATAAAAGATTGTTAAATCCTTAAAATAGACCTTTCAAATCAAAGTTGTCAGTTGTAGATATGTTCTAAAATAATGCCTAAGCCTAAGTACCTACTATGATAATATTTTCTTTATTTCAATATTCAATTATTAGGAAAACATCCATAAACTAACTATCCGTTGATAGCTATCAAAAGATAGCTATTAACGCAATGTAAAAGGGGAAGTCTATTAGAATAGCTTCTAAGTATCATTATATTCCTTTCAGTACCTTTTAAGAGATACTTTAAAAGTCTATAACGTGTTGTCCATGTTAGGAAGAAAAGCTGTCTTCACATCTGACAAAGAAACTAGTGTAGTGAAACATTTGAGGACTTTGGCGAAGATGTACTACGGTTAGACACCTCTAAGTTCAGAAAAGTTGCGATTGCATTTTCAGAAAAACTGAAAATTCACCACAGATTTAAACAAGCAGGGTAGCTCGTAAAGATTGGTTAGAAGGATTTTTAAAAAGAAATCCATCAGTTTCAGTGCGGAAACCTGAAACAACTAGTCTTAACCGTATTACAACTGTTCGAGGCATCAACAAAATTTCAGCAGCAAAAGAGCAAAAGAGAATAGGAGCTGTAACATCTGGTTTAAGAGGACAAAGTACTACAGTTATATGTACATTCAACGGGGCAGGTTCATATGAACCCCTACTTTTATTTATACAAAACAACGAATGAGACCACTTCTGGAAAGGAATGGGCCATCTGGGTCTCTTTATAAATGTTCCAAAAACTGCTGGACTAATGAGGAACTTTTTATTCAGTGGTTAAAAGATTTTAAAAAGTATACCAACCCCAGTGAAACTGAACCAGTTTTATTAATTTTAGACAACCATTGGTAGCCCTATCACCCTAGAAGTTTATGAGTATTGCAAAGAACACTTCATAACGATGGTGTCGCTGCCTTTCAATTCATCTCATCGCCTTCACCTCTTGATGTCGTTTTATTTGATCCTTTCAAGAAGGTCTATAACAGAGAATGTGATCTTTTCATGAAGAGCCATCCAACTGAAAGGATTACAGTTTATAAGATGGCAGAACTCTTTAACAAATCATACACAAATGGTACCACGATTGCTAAACCAATCTTTGGATTTGTATCCACTGGAATATACCCTATAAACTGCCATATATTCTACGAAAAGCATTGTCCTCTATAATCTGAGAATGTGGCTGCAATGTCACCGTCTCATAGTGTACAAGTGGTGACGTTTTGAGATTTTACTCCGCTAAAAAAATCGTCATTTGGTTGTTGTCATGGCAGAGCAGAAAAGAGTCACTCAGATGTTGCTCCGGATAACGTAAAAATGGTCACTAACAATGAAAGCTTGCTCAAAAAGATCGTTACCGGTAAGGAGTCCCGGGTTTGAGGTTATGATTCCGAAACAAAACAGTTGTTTTTTTATTATGAAGGTCAGAAAATCAACATAAAAATTACCCTTAAGTCTAAAAAATTGCAAAATGCGGTGATATGAAAACTGTTTACGATATAGCGCCAGTACATTCATTGAATCTTGGGCAGTAGTTTTTGGTAAAACACAAGATTGCACAATTCTACTAGTTCATGAAACTGCCGTTTTTTAAGTGCAATTTTTCGATGACGGTGAAACGATTCAAACTAATGTAGCGATGACAATGAAAGCCATTACAAGAGCTTTATTTCAGAATTGCTTCAGTGTTAAGTCGAATAATGAATAAATACTTCAAAGGATGATGAAGAATAAAGCATTGTGAAGTTATGAATGAAGGCGGAATACTTTTGATTTGTGGCAGACATTTTGCATTAAAATTACAATTGTTTATTGCAAATCCTTAGTTTATTTCATATTTAATTACGTATAGAGCTAACTCATAATCATATGCTCTGTTATGATTAACCACTGTAGCTGCTATCTACAGCATTCTAAATTGAAGAAAAGTTAGCAATGCTATTAAAAAATTACAGCATTAGAGGCGTAAAATATTTAGTAATTAATTTAATATCCCCAAAATAATACAACACGTTTATTCTGTAAACCATTTGAGCAATGAAATATAGCTATTTCAATTTTTAAAAAAATACCTTTTCCTTCTGTTTTTCCTGATGTTGTTGACCCTGTTGTAGCATAACCGCACACAACTCTTGCGCCAATTCCTGAGGTTCAAAATTTTGTCGTTTGTCATGTCCATTGCTGGAAGATTGCGTGTATATTGTCTGGTTGATGTAGTTGGTCTGGAACTTACTAGAATTTACTGTGCTTAGCATCTGCTGTGGATTAGCATGGTGATGTTGGGTGAAGGATGGTATTCCATTGGCAGTATATCTTTGGTTAGTTTCTGGCGGTGGACACAGTGGTGTAGTAGCATTGCCTTGCGAAAATTTCGCCGCAAATTGATGAATCGTTGGCAGCGCTGTTGCGAAATGCCCTCCGAATGATGGGAAATTCATAGTTTGTCTGTAAATTAAAATAATTGTTTAGTGTTAAATATGTTAAACCTGAAGAATTAGATTTAACATTAAATTTGGAATTAAATCCCAAAAATAAAAAGCTAGAGACTAGAACAGTAGAACAGTATTATATAGCTAGACAAATGACAGACGTTGATATGAAAAGAGCTAATTTGTTATACACCCTTTAAGAAAAAGCTTATATTTTGTTATCAGACTTATCAGTACCTAAAAAACCCAAAGAATGTAAATGTAGAAGCCTAGATAGTTATAACAAAAAATGCTTAGTGTGGGTGGAAAGTGCATAATTTTATAACTCTCAGAAATCAGAAAATGAAAGTGAATAAGATTGTATAACGTTTATTTAGAATAACTAACGGGAAATTGTGAATTTGGAAATAATTTGGCAACGAAATTAACAGATATGTTAATTCAATATACAATGATAGAAAAAATGATGAATGCGTTATTTGGATTAAAATCAGATAAGTAATAAAGCTATGGAAACAGCATAACTTGAAGACCTGTGGACACCTGGTGGATGGTGGAAGTAAATGGCAGAAGTGGTGTGGAAAAAGGTACCTAGTTAAAGTAATTCAGGTGTTAGGATTTGTGATATAGTAAAACCTCCGTTAACCGAAATAAATGGGGGGGAGGCCGTTTCGGATAACAAGAATTTCGGTTAAAAATAACATTGTTTTTTGTAGTATTCCTGGTTAAAGTATTGGTAATAAAAAATATTACGAGGTGATTTCGTAATGTTTTCTATTGAGTAAATACAAAATAAAGTAATGAAATTAAGGAAAATAAATAAGTTTAACATGCTTTTTTAAAGAAATTTGTAGGTAAATAAAGATTTGTAGATATATAGCTGCAAAACATAGTTTGACAACTATGTTTTGCAGCTATATGTCTCCATCGTTCATTTGCAGAACGTCGCGAGTTTGCCTTATTTCATCGTTCGACGAAACGTCAAGCAATCTAAAAAGGACAAAACTTTATGCAATGACAACGAAATGTCATTGCATAAAGATAGCATAAAGACAGCATTTATGCTGTCTGTTGTCTATTGGGTCGTCATCTTTGTCGTCTGATACGCTCAGGTTGTCTGGATAAAGAACCATATCAATGATGTCCTGGTCGATGAATTGGTTAACCTCTTCTTGGTTAATTTCGTCACATACCGAAATTTGTTATTAAAGGTTTAATTTCTTCTGTCGTTTCTTTATCATTTTCTTCTTCAGAATCGTCAATCAAAATCTCATCAAAAAGTTAGTTCCATCATTTTTCCAAAGTTGAAGATTTGATCTTGGCCCAGAACTCAGCACACCGATAAACAACATGTTTCATTGTTAAAGATTTGAGAATTTCGTGAACACTTTTGGATTCATTATTCTCCTGTAATAACAGATGTATTAAGAATGCTCCTATAATGTCTCTATTACTCCCTGGTCTGAATAGTATAACTATTTTGTAGATTTTGAGGGTAAGTTGGCTCATTGTCAACAAGCAACAATGCTTTGATGGGAAGGTTTTTTTATTTTACAAAGGATTTTACACTTGGAACGAATTCATTTTCGAACCTTTCTGAAAATAAAGTGGTCGACATCCATGAGCTTTTTTGGCTTCTATAAAAACTAGAAATGCTGTTTTCTCAACTATCTTTTAGATCTCTTGTTTTTTTTTATTTCCCAACACACGTCGGTATCAATCGGTGAGTGAAATTAGTGGAATTGTTTACGTTTTGCGATAAAAATTTACTTTTTATTGACGAAATTATTGAAACTGTCAGCTGTTTCGGTTAAAAAGGTTTCGGTTAAGGGAGGTTTTACTGTAATTTCAAAATAAAAAAAAAACTTTCTATCGAGCGCATCCAGTTTATTTGCTCAATTACAAGTTAAAGAATTTTCTTAAATTAGTCTGAGTTAACTTATTAACAAATTGTGATTCATCCATATTTTCGGTAATATACAGTTGTTGTTTCTTACAGATTGGCTAGTTTCCACCTTCTTCCCTCTCCCCAAAAAGGCAAATGCCACCAGATGCTCTGATTTATATAGAAAACTCGAAGAAAACATGAACAGTGTTCAGTTTGTGTTTAGAAGCGGGCTGAGAACGCGAGAGGTCCTATTTTTCATACAAGTATTGATACAAAGAGTTAGCGGCGTAAATTGCCAAGTCTACGCAAGCTTTATAGACTTTGAAAAAGCATTTAACAAGGAGCAACATCAAAAATTATTTCAGATTCTGAAAGAATGTAGTATTGATGACAAAGATTTACGCCTAATTAAACATTTATACTTACAGCAAAGGGCAACTGTACGAGTAGAGAACGAAACCTCGCAAGAATTCACGATAAAACGGGGAGTACGTCAGGGCTGCATTTTGTCACCGATGTTGTTCAATACTTTCTCGGAAATGCTGTTCAGGAAAGCTATTAATGGTTTAAGAGAAGGTATAAAAATTAATGGTGAAACCATAAACAATTTAAGATATAGACCGTGTAATGGAAATCTGTGACAGATACGGCATGGAATTAAACTGTAAGAAGATCAAAATTCTTGTAGTAAGTAAAAACGACGTAGTACAACACCAATTCACAGCTAATAATAAACCCTTGAAAATAGTCGACAAAATTACATATCTTGCATGCAGCCTAAATAAGGAATGGGACCAATCACAGGAAATAAGATGTCGTATAGAAAAGGCGAGAGCTGTCTTCTTTCCTATATCCATCTTGTGACAAACAACACCGTGATCCAACGTACGAATAAAGATCTGGAAATTATGCGTATCCTGAAAATCAGAAATATGACATACTTAAGATATGTGATGCGCAATTAGAAGTATCAACTAATTCCACTAATTTTACAAGCAAGATAGAAGGCAAAAGATCTAAGATGTTATTAAGCAAGTGCAGAAAATATGGGAATTAGACAGTTTTATACAAAAATCATCCAACCAATTATGATTAACTTGGAGGAAGACAATTGTTCATCAGATTTTTTGATTTTAGATAAAAATGATTATTAACACATTTTTTACGTACCGTAAACCTACTTTGCGCCCTCCGGTGTTACTTTGCCCCATTACGAAAAAAGTTTATTTTAATTACCTACTAGAAATAAAAGCCTAATTAGTTTATCCCCCAATAGCACACACTTAATTCAGCTTCTGGACGTGGCATTTTTTCGTCCAGTTAAAATAGCCTGGAAAAAAGTGCTATCGGACTGGAAAAATATCGAAGAACGCATTAAAAATATAAATATTCAGAAACAGAACTTCCCACCACTGTTAGTAAAATTGATGGAAATTATTGCACCACCCATCAAAGATAATTTGATATCCGGTTTTTGCAAATGTGGGATTATTTCCTTTGAATGTTAAAGAAGTTTTAACCCGTATACCTCGAAATTCAAACAACACAGATATTGTAGAATACGAATTTCTTCAAATACTTGAAACACGAAGATCTTTGTCAACTAGTGTGTGTGCGTGTGTGCGTTGATGAATCAATTGAGGAACCTGCGACCTCCACTACAGCAAATGACGAGCAGCTCCCAGAATCTTCTACCTTTAGGGGAGAGGACAAACTTAGTTTAAATGATTCATCGGACGATCTTAACTTCGATGAGATTGAAAAAGAGCAAGAGAAAGAAAGAGAATTCATAAATTTTGTAGAAGATAAATACTATTAAACAGATGATTTCCATTTTGATGTAGTAAGAAAAGTTGGATGTTTTGTGGTCTTTTCTTTCGAAGGACAGGTCTATCCTGGACAAATTGTTTCCTTTAACACTGATGAAGTTACAATTAATGCAACGCAAAAATCTTTAAAAATGTGGAAGTGACCTCCAAAGAAAGATCAACTTACATACTCTTGGTCCGATGTTCTTGGATCTATTAAACCTATAAAACAAGTAACAAAAAGGGGTGTCTTTTCTGTGCTTGAGCTGGCTTGTTCGTACAGTGATTAAATATGGATTGCACATTTTGGTACAACGCTATATTCAATACACATATTAGGTATTTGTTTTTAAAATCTTATTAAGTTTTAAAAAACTGTTTTTCGTTGAATATTTGCATTCCTAGTTCTTAAGTTTTTGAAAGGTACATCTCGTTACATTTTATGAGGTACCTTATCATATTTTTTTGTAATTTATTAATATAATCCAAAACATGTTTTAGTTTTCTGCAATAAATTCAAAAAAAAAAATTTTTTTTCACGTTTTTTATGTAACTAGCGATTAGACGTTATTTTATGATGTGTGGTATGACCTTTGGCTATGGGAAACTTTGCTCCACATTGCAAATGAAAAAAATAACAATAATTCGTTATTTTTGAGCTTAAAGTATTTAAACCATAATTTTTTAAAGTATTCTTTACAAGTAGACCTTTAAAAACGGAGCAAAGTAACCCCGATTCACGGTACCTAAATGTATAGAAACTTATTATAATATATTATTTTGTCTGCTTGTAAGCGTTTTGCACACATAATTAGAATTTATTAAAGCGTAGATCCGCAGATCTATGTAGTTCGTATAAACCTTTACAAGTAGACCTTTAAAAACGGAGCAAAGTAACCCCGATTCACGGTACCTAAATGTATAGAAACTTATTATAATATATTATTTTGTCTGCTTGTAAGCGTTTTGCACACATAATTAGAATTTATTAAAGCGTAGATCCGCAGATCTATGTAGTTCGTATAAACCTTGGGTAATTAACATTTATTTTCATCTACAAAGTCTTTACTGCATATCAAAGACAAAATTTGCCTACTAAAAAGATATACCTATGCAAATAGGAAACTAAATATAATCCAAAATTAGTTTACGCCCCAAAAAACTTTTGTTTATCCAATCTTAAGTTTTGTATAATTTTCCGACTAAAAATTCATTAGACACTTCCTTATTTTGAGGAATCTATTATTATAGATATATGTAAATCAGTTTAGAAATTTGGCTTTTATAAAAGCGGTTACAGTAATATCTGAACTTTTCAGTAGATTCATATTTATATGTATTTATTATTTAATTTTAAATGAAAACCATCGATTAATTTACTTCACCGGTATACAGATAAAGTAGCCATGACTTCTTATTAAAAAAATACGAGACGATAATGTAATTAAATTAGAAACTTAGTAGAAATCGTTTGTCTATTAACAAAATATTGGTTTTTCCAGTCTGCCATACCAAACATAACACTAAACAACATTTAATAGATAGGAAAACTATTAAGCCAAAAATTATGTGTACCTACACATGCATAAGCAAGGCCAATAGTGCAAGGTGATTTTTATTATAGCAATAACTTACCATGTTATTTATTTGGTTTTACATAAAATAAAATTGTAATTTTTTATATTTTGATCGACCCTTGATATAAAAATTCACCACCCTTTACCCTTTTGCAATTTACATCACCCTAATATTGAATTGTTCCCTATAGGAGGGGAGGGAGCGTTTTCCTATACGGTCTCAATGTCGAGGGGTGAAAATGAACGTTTGAATTCTGGCGCGAAATTTTATCTCTCTATATATAGATATATCATTAATATCTTCAATGCATATGTATTAAGAAGTAGTATATAAAAACACAATATCTATTTACAAATAAAATATATACAACTTAAAATTAACGATCCAGTGATTTTTAAATACAATTAACAATGTTTTTTTCTCTTCTAAATGATTTTTAAACATGATACATAATTCGTAATCACAGTTTATTATATTCATTTAAAAAAGTAATGTGTCACAAAAATACATTTTTATTGCTCAAGTATTTGTTAACTCCCACGTATTCTGAGTGATATTAATTTCAAAATAAAATAACGCTGAATTTCGTATATTGACGTATCACATTTCATATGAAAGAACAGGAAAACTAAATGTTACAAAAACAAAGTCTATTAACAAATTATCAATTTTACGCAAAATTATAGACCAACAGCTTGTAAAAATTAATACAATTATTATATTATTATAAAATATTTAACGAAATAAAGTAGATAATAAATAATTTTTATTTAATTTCTATTTAAAATAATTTTTCTTTACTTTACACGCAATAGAGACATCAACTTCTTAAGTTGGTGAACATGTGCTTGATTTAAATTTAGCATCTATTGTGTTGGCAACAATGACTTACAATAAAAAAATGTTTTTGTGCTTGTACCGATGAGCGATGTCTTCTTTCGGGATAATTATATTTTTTGACTTAATGTAATTTTACAAAAGTTTATGTTAAAAACGTGACTTCAGCGGTTGTATAGTGTCGGACGTTTTTCTAATTATATCTGTTTAGAACTCTGTTAAAATTACTGTGATCTGATTCGGCTAACCTCTGTTACATTTGAAATGGCGCTTAAAGTGTGGATTGTTGAGGTATTTTCTATAAATGATAACAACCAAACAGCACCAAAATATAATAGAAAGGTTAAACTGAGAGCAGATTATGATCCGCAAGGTATTAGTATTCAAATTTTAGAACTCGACGAAGCGACTCAATTGTTGGAATTCCCTGTAGACTCTGAAACAGATTGTTGCAAAGTGGGTACAGCATCTTATTTATTTTCTATTGATAACGATACTATAATAATCAAATTTAGCAATAGGGAAGAAGCTAGGTACTTTACTATAGCAATAAAAAAGATTAAATCTGGAAAAGATGCATCAATATTTTCTGTGAGAACCGAAGACTCCTCTGCAGCACAGTACTTCCAGTTTTATGGATATCTTTCTCAACAACAGAACATGCTTCAAGATTTTGTTAGGACATACACTTATCAAAGAGCAATATTATGTAACTTAGACGATTTCAAAGATAAGGTAGTTTTAGATGTAGGTGCTGGTTCAGGTATTTTATCTTTTTTTGCAGCACAGGCTGGGGCTAAACGTATTTATGCTGTAGAGGCTTCCACCATGGCTCATTATGCACAAAAACTAGTAGAAGCTAATAGTTTCAATACATGTATAAAAGTTATACCTGGCAAAATAGAGGAAGTCGAGTTGCCTGAAAAGGTGGATGTGATTATATCTGAACCTATGGGATATATGCTTTATAATGAACGAATGTTAGAATCTTATTTAAATGCCAAAAAGTGGTTAGTTCCTGGGGGTAAAATGTACCCTTCTAGAGGAGATTTGCACATTGTCCCTTTTACAGACGATGCCCTCTATATGGAACAATACAGTAAAGCAAATTTTTGGTTTCAAACTTGTTTTCATGGTGTTAATTTGTCAGCTTTGCAAAACTGTGCCGTTAAAGAATATTTTAGGCAGCCCATTGTGGATACTTTTGATATTAGGTAAGTTTTAGGGAATATATTATTATTATTCTCCGCATGCATGAGATAAACCATTAACCTGAATGCACAAGAACATAGTGTATGAATTAAACACTACAGCCTTAACTAATCATTCTTTAGAAAATAGCCACTCTTTTGATTTTGCAATTGTACAGATTTTGGAAAAAGAACAGAACTACAACAAAAGATGTATATTGGAGATGATTCACACCAAAAAGATCAATAATAAGACCAATGTAAAAGATCTCCAGTATATATCTGTTTTTGAATACAACCCTGAACCGTCCATAGTTAAAAGTACTTGTTATGTGTAACTTAACAAAATTTTTGTATACTCCAACATGAAGTGCCTAGTTTGCAATAGAATGATAGTGTTTATATTTTTTAAATTTTTCCCTTAAACTCAAAAAAGTTGTGTGGAAACTATTCAAGTGGTGCTTTAAGATGAGTGTATAAGCAAAATTAATAAAAAATGGTTTAATCTATTCTGACCAACCTTCCAGCACAACTACATAGGAAAATAGTGAGTGTTTGAAACTTGTGAGTTAAGAAGACCTTTATTTAACTGTGCATTAAGTAGAAAACAATTTTGGAATTCTGAAAACTTAGGGAATTTGTGACAAATTTATGCTGCTGTATCAGCGCCTATAATGTCTCAATCTTTTTGTATTTTTAGGTATGCTTTTGAGAATTTCCTGGTGTATATCCTTACATGATTAGTTTATTGAAGGTGTTCAATTATGAAATTGTTTCCAATGGGAAACATTACTTCTATTTGCTGCCTCTTTCATTGTTTGTCCAAATTTTGTACCCACCTACATATTATTTATTTGTCAACAAGCAATTGTGTAATATAAACATAGCAAAAAAGTAAAGAATTAAATTAAAGGTTAGTAGCATAGGGGAGAGTAATAATCATTTTAATGATTATTATATATTCCAAATCAAATAAGGGATAATTAATACAGTAAAGTATACATTTTAAATTATTTATTTATTTATTTATTTATTTATATACGGCATCCATTTACTTACAATTTTTACAAAGTTACATCTTAAAAACAATATATTATTAAAATAACAATCACAAGTTTTAAAAAGTTACACCTTAACAACAATAAATTATTAAAATAACAAACACCTCAGAATAATACAAACATATAAGAATAATACAGATGTATAACCAACTTATTGTAAGATATTTTTTAGTTGTTTTTTAAACAAACTAATTTTGGAGTCAAAAATATCTATTTGTCTTGGCAAGCTATTAGCACTCCGGACCAATCGTGTAGTTGGTTCATTGGTACCATAATTAGTGTGGTGAAATGGCACCGAAAAGATTTCTGATTGTCTGTTGCTTCTACTAGGAACTTTAAGACTAACAAGCGATAAGAGTTGAGGACAATCTATTACACAAAGAAATTGACCTAGTTAGTGCATTGTTTAATAATTGTTTAAACATAGAAAAAGCACGTCAAACAGAAACTATTGTTGTAAAAATAACACCGCTCGTGACCCAAATGAAGCATAGAATTACTAACTCAGCGAAAACGCAACCTTGGTACTACAACCGGTCAATGAGGACACGCGTTGATAAAAACCAAACTAAGGAGGCCAAGCGGTAGGAGTACGGCGGAAGCGATCAGTAATAGCGGGGCACCTTGACTGGCCGCTCAGGCAGTATTGCCGGCATCGGGTCGGACGCGATAGCGTCCCGTACGCGCAAGCAGTCGGTGTCTTTGAGTAGGGTTGTTAATACGAGAGTCGGCACCAGGTGCGGATTACGCGCGATTGATATATTTCGATGATATTAGCTAGAGCCTAAATATGCGAAAGGTAACAAAATTCTATATACTAACCCGAGTAAATTATAGTATTACAGATTGTCACCCCTTTACTTTCTTGCTAAGATCTCTTCTCGTCTCCCTTCGCGCCGAACGAGTTATTATTAATTATATCTGACAGTTTGTTAACTTAATTGTAAACCACATAGTATATTCAATACATTTGTAGACTCTAAAATTGGTTTTTATGTTCCTTCTGACCGATTCAGACAGAGACCAGAAGAGTACCAAATTTCGGCTTATACATTTATCCAGCTTCTAAAGTAAGCCCATAGACTCAAACTCTTTACAGGACCTGAGACCTAGAAGTCCTTAACCCCTATTCCGAAGTTCCTTCCCTTCTCGTAAATCCACGAAGGCGAGCCAGCCCTCCAAACTAGTGGGACCAGTATTTCTTGCAGCCGCTCGCAGGGATAAGCATCCTTTAAGGTTCATTACCAGTATATTACAGTGGTAACAGTGTTGAACAGTGGTGAAGATTTTCTCACCCTCTAGTTACAGATTCTTTCCATAGGGTATACACCCCTCAAGTTGTACAGTGGTGACAACGGAGTGCCCCAGTACTTCACAATTGCCCAATTGAAATACAATACTATAAAACTAAAACATAAAATTTTAAAACCCTAATTTATTACATGTCATAAAATTTAATACTACCATACACAAAAAAAAAAAAAAAAAACGAAATAAAAGAAAAAAAAACAGGTCACAATTGAGTGGCTCAGTTCCATACTTGCCTAAGCCGCATTTTCATTATAAGTCAGAAAGTTGATGTAAAGTAAATTGGCGATAATAAAAAAAGCACTCGATGTAGAAACATTTCAATATATTTTGTAAATAAACAAGATATTACTTTAACTAAAAGTTATACAAAGAAAAATTAAATATGAGCATGTGAATTATACTTTTGATAAAAACTTATAGGCAACTTTGGCGCTAATACTAACATTAAAATAAGTAATACAGTTGTTGCCTAGGCAACGATAAAGTAGGTCGATAAATTATTTTATTGATCATTTTCATTGTCAGACTCAAATGAATCTCGAGTTGTTTCTTCAATGATCCCTGATTGAAGCGATCTAGAAAAATTGTGATGTTCTGGAGGTATATATTTAAGAAGATCAATTAAATCTTTCTTTTTTTCCTTTGTAATAGATCATCCATGGGGATACAACAATGGTAGTTCAACAGGCAAATTAGTAATTACAGGTCTACCTCGACCAACTCTTTTTTGAGCCATTCTACTTTTATCTTCTCTACTGATATTTTTCTGCAAGTTATGGACTCTTCCAAATTTCTTGTAGTAAAAAAGTGATCTGCTGTCATCTGCTGCACAACAAATTTTGGTGTTTTCTTATTAGCCTTTTTAATTACATTTATCCAATCGTTTGGATGAAAAATTTGAGGATGATACTTTTTCTCTCTTTCTATTACATCAAAATCTTGATCGCAGCTAGAAAAGCTATGGCCAGGTATAAAAAATGTTAAATCAATTTTTTCAATTTCCGAGTTTTGCAAAATATTAATCAGTGCCAATACAACTTTATTGTTGCGATTTTGACCACCGCAACTATCGCTGTAAAGAGTTATTTCTCTGGTTGCTGATGGTAAGCAGTTCTGAATGTGATAAATAAGATAGGACGCTACTTCTTGGACTCCTCTGGAAGCTGTGTGTTTGCCCCAAACATACATGTGGCCAACATTATTTACCTCATCATGGATACCGAGATTATACACCCATAGTTGTCGCTTGTAATATACTACACCAGTTGATAACATTGGCGTAGGTAAAGTTTTTTGAAGGTCAAAAACCATAACTTGTTTTGTTGCATTGCTGGATTTTGCTTCATCTGCATCTCTTTTTTCATATCTCTTACTGCATCTGCTCGCCGCAAATGAAGTTCATATTGAATTTTAGCATTAGTATTGTCTGTGCCAATAGTTTGTGCCTTAAATTCGTCACAGGTTTGACACGTGTCTTTGTGCGGTTGATGAAAATGTAACTTAAATTTACTATTGAATATGTATCGAAACATATATAGTGATACTGCTTTCTATTACTATCCCTGCAACAATAATGACTTTCATACGATGGAAATATCTCAATAAAATTACATACTCTTTGCTCATCCTCTAAACTCTCTTATTGTGAGATACATGTTTTCCCTTTTAGGGGAGAAATACATATAAGCGGATACACAGACGCACTATACGTGAAATTAAATCTTAACTGTCTTTTCCTTTTATTTCGGTATACTCTTTACGAGTACTAGAAATCAACTCGCTAAGGATTTTTGCTTAGTTGAGGAGATATGTTGTGGAATGCAATTTTTAGATTCCCCATGTCTCTAATAATATCTTTATCAACATCTGTTTTGCCTTGCAATTCTTAGAAGGCACAGATTAAAGCAAAAATCTGAATTGGTTTCAAAAATTAGTTTACTGATTCAATTATTATTATTGAAGTTATCACACAATTTTTTCTGCATAAATCCGAATTCCACCTTCTTCTTTTTCTTCCTACTTTATAAATCGGCTTGTCTGTTTTATTTCGGTTTTTAGCCTCAATTGATGTTGTCTGACCATCTTTTCCTCGATCGTCCCAATGATCTTCTTCCATTTGGCGATTTGTCTCTTGCTATTTGTACTATTCTATTTTCTGTCATTCTTTTGATGTGTTGATTCCATTCCACATCTCGCTCGTATTTCCTCACTTCTTACGTTTGGTTTGTTATTTTTCGTAAGACTTTCATTTCTATTGTTTCCAGCAGTCTTTATATTTTTGCCGTATCTGCTCTTGTTTCCGCTGTCTATGTCATTATCGGTCTTATTGTTGATTTATATATCCTGGTTTTCGTTTCCGTTGTGAGGTATTTGTTTCTCCAGATTGTGTTGTTGAGACATCCTGCTGCTCTGTTTGCCCTGTTCACTTGTTTTTGTACTTCTTTTTCCACTTTTCCGTAGCTTGACAGTTTTATTCCCAAGTATTCAGTTTTCATAATTTGTTCTATTATTTTGTTATTTACGAGTAGTTTACATCGTCTCGGTTCCGCTGATATCACTATCGCTTTAGTTTTCTCTGTTGAGATCACCATGTTGTATATGGTTTCTTTCTTTTTTCTTGACATTTTTATTTAACGTCTAGTGTAAACCATGGTGTTTTCGTTGACCACTTTTTGTTCATTATTTTCGTTCCAAGTGTTTCTCGAGCATCCCACCTCTCACATACAGATTTAGACTTTTTTCACAAAGCTGCCTTTGTTTATAAACACTGGAATAAAGAATATAATAATTGTAAGAACACAACTGATTATTATAGTATAGTTTCAATTGTATGAAAAATACCAACTGAAATAGGGTGTTCTTTTTTATGTCACTATTGATAAAAAGTGAATTATCTAGTACATTTTTAATATTTAGTGAAAACAACAATAATTATACTAATGCATTTGTTTCAATAATAAAAAAATCGAAGTACATAGTATTTAATATTTTTTTATAGTCATTGACAGTTAAGTGTTCTCAACTAGGTTACCAATTTGTTTAGACAAATAAAAGTTAAATTAAAACTTCCCATAATTAGTTCTATCTTTTGCTGTATACTTTTACGAGGGCTGGCCTATAAATTTGGAAATATTTTTATGTATCAATACAGTATCATTAAATCATTACAAGTGTTCCAATACCCAAAGTTATTACTATTGAGGCGAATGAATTTACACATATTAATGTACTTCCGCCCATTAAGAAATTATTAGAGTTAGCAGTATATGATCAGGTCATGAATCCAGTGCAACTTTTACTTTGTAAACACAGCTCTGAATTGGAACATGATAATTATGTAGTGGTGGTATTCCTTGATTTAAAAAGAGCTTTTGGAACTATAAATCGTAATATTCCTCGTGTTCAACTAAAAAAAAAGAATGAAACTCTTTGTATTTTATCTGTATTAGACCAAATGATTCAGTCATTAAACAATAAATTTGAGTAAGAATAAAAAATAATGATCCGTTCAGTAGGCAAAATCAAGATTTAAATACACCTTAGAACATTATGATTTGAATTCTTCAGATTTAGGAGCTGAACTAATGCCTGGTTGCACCAACAGATCTTAAACTCCAGCTTAGCCCAGCTACGCTTATAGCTGGGGCCGCCTTAACTCTCCAACTATGTACTTGTCAGATAACTTTTTCTAAACAGAGCATAATAAAATCGAAACTTCAATCAACAATGATGCAAGACCGTTTTTAACATCCAGTAGTGCCTTTTGTTCAACAAGAACTTTGTAAATAAACTCCTGCACAAAATTAACGCACCACTCATATTTTTCTCAATAATCTTTATTTATTGATAATTTACTATACGATAAGTTACCTATGGACCTTGTTTGACAGTGACAGTTGTTATGTAAGCTAATAATAGTCTTGTTTTAACAATAGTTTGTATAAAACTTCGTTTTAGACTAAAAGTGAGTTAAACTTTTCATAAAAAGTGCCGATTAAAGCAAATTGCTTGTGAGAAACGAGCTTTTTATTGTGATATTTTTCATCACATGCATGTTTGGAAGTTCATTTGCAGAAAAATCAAATAAAAAAATGAACCGCCAAAGAAATTTGTCAATAGAGGAGGCAGTGCGAGCATCGACTTTCCTAGATGAAGGATATTCAATGCCGTACGTTGCAGGTTTGTTAGGAAGACATTATTCCAGCATCAGTCGCAAGGTGAGACGATATAATGAAACAGGGTCGTACCATCGAAGAGCAGGGCAAGGGCGAAAACGTTGAACTAATCAAATTGATGATCGTTTTTTGAGACAACGTGCTCTCAGCACGTTGCATCTGAGCATATTTTATTATCATATTTGCCGTTTACGGTGGTAGTAGCCATAAACTATTGCTTATATAGCATCAAATACTTTTCTACACTTATTATACAAAAGATTTATTCAAATATACACTCACCGGCAAAATTAACGGAACACCTTAAAAATGGGACATGTTAGATGACTCGAATTTCCTAAACGTGTTGTCCGATTTTAGTGATTTTTTTAGTATGTTATAGGTATATTATTTAAGAATATCAATGAAATAATATTGTTGCTAGACAGGTCAATGTCATTTTATACTGGGTGTAACAATCATACTGTTTTTTCCTTAAAGTTCGAAACACCCTGTGGAATATTCTAGCATATATAAAATATTGAAATTAAAGCTAAATTATAGTCTCAGGCTTTCTTAACATTTTCTTTTTTGATTCATTTGCTTGTGTTGGATAATAAAAAAGTTAGGTACGTTAACAACTAGCTATGTTTTTCATCAATAAATGCTCATTTTCTTCTTAGTTTCACCAGCATATTTAAAGAAACAACCATAAAATCTGAGTATTTTCTCTCTAGTCTATATACTGTTTAGATAATATCATAATACGAATGTTGGTGAAGTATGTATTTTGAATTTATATTACAGTAGTAGTACAATATAAAACCTGTTTAAGAAGAAATAAAAAACAAAGATGTCAGACTCAACAAAATACGGATTTTAAACGCAGTAACTTTATTGTACAGTTTGAACTTAAATTGGTTTTTTATGCATTTTTTTGGCTTTAATAGCGTGTGTTTCCCCTACGAGCCCTTACAACTGCAGTTATTCGTCTTCTCATACTTCTGATACCGCTATCGATCAGTTGTTGGGCAGTCTCTCCCATTCCTCAATCAAAGCAATTGTGACTTTCTCTCTGTTTTGAATAGCAGGAACCCGTGCTCTAAGTTTTCTGCCTAGCATGTCCCACATATCCTCTATCGGGTTTAGGTCTGGGGAACAACCTGGCCAATTCATCGTTGTTATACCCACTTGTAATAAGAAATATCTTACACAGTCTGCGACGTGTGGGCTCGCATTATCCTGCATTAAAATAAAATTTTCGCCAATATATGGTGAAAAAGATACCACATGGTCTTGGAGAATATCTCTGATATACTTATCTGCTGTTAATGCTCCATCATCAATCACCACTAACTCTGTTATTGCTCCCAAACATATACCGCCCCACACCATAATTGAACCTCCACCAAAAGGTACGGTCGTAGTAAAATTGAAAGGGGCATTTCGTTCTCCTTGGCGTTGATACAATCTTTCTCTACCGTCGATGTAATTTACACAGAAACGGCTCTCGTCCGTAAAGAGAATTTGACTCCAGTGGTTATCATTCCAATTTTGATGTACTCGACCAAATTGTAGTGCTAAACGATGGTGTCTCTGGAGTCTGGGAGCTTATATTGGCACATAAGACTTGAGACCGGCTTTTTTAAGTCTCTTTCTTACTATGCGCTCAATTAAATACAAGTTTGTACTTGTTATGAACAGACAGAATGACTGTAAAATGTAAAACACAATACAAATAAACAAATTAATTTGACATTTAAGACTTTCTTGTGACAAGGAGCTTTCAAAGCTATGTAGATATAGTCTATAAAATACAAATATAAAGAAATATTGCATTAATAACAGGTTCCTTTAAATTTGCCGGTGTGTGTATTAAATTGTTAACTTCTCATAGCCTACTTTAGGCTTGTTTATTAAACTAAGCAGAAAATGAGGATTTATTGATGAAAAACATGGCTAGTTGTTAATGTACCTAACTTTTTTATTATCAAACATAAGCAAATGAATCAAAAAAGAAAATGTTAAGAAAGCCTGAGGCTATAATTGAGTTTTAATTTCAATATTTTATATAAATGCTAGAATATTCCACAGGGTGTTCCGAACTTTAAGGAAAAAAACACAGTAGGATTGTTACACCCGGTATAAAGTGACCTTGACCTGTCTAGCAACAATATTATTACATCGATATTCTTAAATAATATACCTATAACATACTAAAAAAATTACTAAAATCGGACAACAGGTTTACGAAATTCGAGACATCTAACATGTCCCAATTTTAAGGTGTTCCGTTAATTTTGCCGGTGAGTGTATATAACTGCTTTTAGTTTTTGTAAAAACTTAACATTATTAGATTAATTGTACTTGTTTTTGTACTTACAATAGTAATCATTTTCAGGATCTGCATGAGCAAATCCATACGACACGTAGTAGACTTCTTAGAAACAGACGAGACTGATCTTCACACAATCGAAATACCACTAGAATTTCACATATTAGAATCAGGTACATGCCACGGCCTCGCGTTTTGGTTTGATGTCGCCTTCGGTGGTTCCCAACAGACTATATGGTTGAGTACTGCTCCGACAGAACCCCTAACACATTGGTATCAAGTCAGATGTTTACTAGAACAGCCTCTTCTTTTGAAACAGGGACAAGTCTTGACGGGAAGAGTGTTACTTTTAGCCAATAAACGACAGAGTTATGACGTCACTATTGAATTAACAGTGGAAGGAACTATGCACACATCTCAGAATACTTTGGATCTGAAAAACCCTTACTTTAGGTATACAGGAGCGCCAGTACAGCCGCCCCCAGGTAATTTTTTTTATACATTTTCTTTTTTCACAATAATCACCTAAATAATACACACAAAAAGCTCCACAGATTTACTCACAAATTATAATGTGTTTTAGATGTGTTTTAGACGCGATGCGATACAATAACCTATTCTATGGTGATACACTAATTCACACGCTTGTCTTTGACCCCAAAATACACCTAAACAAATAACCAATTGTGCAAAAAAATCAAAGTGTAATTTATTTATTTTTAGCATTATCGTGAACGAGCACTTTTCATTCATCATTTGTAGTCAATCTTTCGTAATATCTTCGTTGTTACTCATTATTAATGCTTGCGTTTGTTATTAGTGATTCTTCCTTTCTCAAGATAATAAATGAACAATTTATTACCTGAGAATTTGACAATAATGTGTCAACTTAAAAAAACTGTTCTATTGATCCATGAACCATGAATGTTCTATTCGATAAAAATAACAACAAAAAGATGTTTCACTGCATTCAAATGCCTTCAAATGCAAATTTACTGCCTTTTACAAAAACGTCTTGACAACCTTCTAAAGTCTAACTTTCTTGAAATGAGGGTAGAGACAAAACCAAGCTTCGTTTGTAAATATGCTAGAACTCCAGTCTTCTAGCTCCAATGCACGTGATGTCGTTAACGAAGATATTAAAAAGAAGTGGAGAAGTGTGGCCTCCTTGAGGAACTCCAGATGTTACTGTGATACTGTCAGACAGATGACAACCTATCTTCACTTTTTGACTTCACCCATTTCATTGAGCTAATCTTACCACAATGTATCCTGTTGAGGTGTAATTACATTGTGACATCACTGACTGAATTGTTCATATCGGTGCCATAATCGCGAAGTTGCGCTTCAAGAAAAGTCAAAGTTACATGCATCATAATCTTGTGAAGGGTCATCTTTCAGCCACCATTTACCATTTGAACATGTGCTGCTTCTTGTATTTTTTCTTTTAGATTGTTCCCATCTGCTTAATATATCTCCTGCCATTGTCCAACACATGATCTAGTCGCATAATTGTCTGCCAGTCTTTTAATTTCCAGGTTTGAATCGAAAGCAAATTCTATTACTGTTGCGTTCTGCACATACGATGACCTCCATATAACAATTGGGGTCATCAGAAAGAGGGAGAGAATGTATTCTGTTCAATCCAGAACTCGCTGGTTTCACCCTTCGCATTGGGTATGCATTTGTATTGGGAGAATGCCTTAGAAACTGTTTATTAGCTCCAAAAGTGTATATTCAGAGATATCCACACAGAAGGCACCCTTCAATTAAAATTAATTTCGAGTTATGGTATGATTAATAGAGAATCCACAAAAGTACGCGCTAATTGAGCAATAATATTGAGTTAAGTGCAACGTCAGTTTGAAGAATTATAAAGAAAAAAAAATATCACCCATTTAACATTCAGAGAAAATAAAAATATATATTAAATTTGTTGTTAAAAAAATAGTAATCATATTGAATCTGTGTGCCTTACAAAGTTTTTATGTTTTTGCATGTCTTAACTAATTTCTATTTGTAGGAGTATCAAATGTTTCACCAAGTGAAAGTTATTGGAGCCAGTTGGACGCCCAAGGAGTTCGAAATGCTGTAAATATGGTAAACGGTATGTCAGTGAACGGCTTAGGAGAAGTCTCTATGGATACAACACAAACATTATTAAATAATAATTTAATGGCAGCTAATAATCTCATTGCCTTAGTAGATTCTCAGCACATGGCTGGAGGTAAGTTCACTTACCAGTAGTAGAAAGGACCTATCTGTTTGTAAATATGTTTAACCTGATACTTGATGGCAAGCAAGTATTATTAGTTGGCAATTCTAATTTATAGAGGTTGCGGTTTTATTTTACTTAAACAGTTTTGATAAGTAGATTGGATGTAATGTTGTTCTGTGAAGGCAAAAAAAACATACACATTATAGTAGCATAGTATAAAGAGGAAAGCAGTCATAATTTGTGATTTTTCGTTGTATGGCAGGTGATAAGTATACTCGATCTAGTCCGATTTTATTTTTAAACGTTAAACCAGTGAATACTAGCATTATATGATGTGTGATGTGTGTAGAAGAGAGTGCGGAAGTTAGAATTACAAAAAATAGATCAGAAAAAGCTCTATTTCACTTTTTGAGATTGTTTTATTGTTTACCGACTTTACAGCATGAAATAAGTGATACAGCGCTGAAAACAGACTAAAACTAGACAAGAATTGACTTTTTAAAATTTATTAAATTTTTAATTTATCAAAATAATGTTCCAAAATTGATTTAATAGCAACAGTGAGTAGTTATTTTTTTAGTGCCATCTGTAATGTTTATTTTAATTTATTTACAGTCTTCTAACATTTAATTGATTTACACTCATCTAACACTAACACTAAAAATAATTAATTTATAACCTTTATTTGCTTAACAGTATAAATTTATTTTATCTACTAACTTCTACAATTTAATTTATCTTTATATTTAGGCGCTTCAGTCGTTACGGAGCTTTATTGTATGACACCAATGTATGTTCATTTAAATGTATTTGCGGTCTTCTAACACTAAAATTTAATTTATCTGTTATATAGGCGATTCCAATCGATCTTGGAATTATCTCGAAGCGGTAGCTTCTTCGAACATATTACTCGAAGGTTCACTCAGCGACGTAGCAAAACGGGCTGGCATAACACATCTATTATAGGTTGACTTGACAGCTGCAAGTAGATAAAAGTTATATATAAATAATGTTATATCGCTTCTCCAGTTTCAGCATTTGAGCTCATGGTTTCTTGCGTGTTAATGTCCTCGCCTTTTTCGAAAGTACATTAAATCATGAGTTTTTCTTGTATCTACGTAGCTTTCAACCCTTAACATCTACCTTACACGTGGTATAGTCGTACGTTTTCATTTTCTCCGTCAAACTATCTTTATTTTTGTTGTTTTTTTTTATCTTGCAGTTTTTTAATGCCCTTTATCTCTATTTCCACCATCTAAATGCACATATTAACCATGGCCAACTAAAGAAAGAAAACAATAATTTTTATTGCCTTATTAATAGTTTTTGCATTTTTTATGAAAAACTTTTGCATATATATTTGATAAATATATTGGTTAAAGTTTTTGGTATAAAAAATTTAAGAAAAAAAGTGAAAGTAAAGTAGTTTAGCAAGTGGTAGTAGAAGAAGATATATAGACTCTGACAGTCTTATACCCTGAAAAAGTAAAAATAGAAGTACTAATATGTGATCTTAGAACTTCCCATTTTTCTAAAGTACACTCAATTTGATAATCAATATATTGTTTAAAACATTATTACACAATAATGTTGCCGATCAATCTACAAGATATAAAATATTGTCATGCAATAATATAATTCTATATGCTTCTATAATCAATATATAGAATAATTAAAGTTTTTGATGGCATTGCATCATTACTACTACTTTGGCCTTTGCGTGCCCAGGCTGGACGAACAATCTGCCTTCAAGCAGATCAACCCCTGATCACAGTTCGCTTTCTCCTGAATCCCAGCTTCACACCTCCTCCACAACCATGGTGGATCCAGCGAAGATGGCGTCTTCGTTGATGTTTTCTACTGTCTGGGATTCCTCAGGGTAAATGCTCTTTACTTGTCGCTCTTGTTATATTTTTTCCGTACATCTTCCTAAACTATTTCTCTCCCTTCTACATAGCTGATCCTCATTACTATTTGTAATTTTGTAAGTTTCTGTTCCACAGAACACTTGTAAGTTTTACATTACTTATGTATAACTATAAGTTTTACATTACTAAATACCTACTTTATTTGATGTGCAGAAACACCTATTCCTAACTACTGTTCTTGTTTTTATTTTGTTTTTGGAGGAACCGCTATCGTGTATTTAGATAGCCAAGTATCTGAAACTGAAGGAGTGTTAAATGATTACCATCTAGTGGTTTTATCGATGTTTATCTTTAGATCCATACTGTCACTCTATGATATCTGTATGTGTCGTCTATCCAGACAATTTTTAACAACTCTCTTAAAAGCCCTTCTAATGGTAGAATAACTTTCTTCCAAAGCTATAGTTTTTCCTACAGCGGCGTTATCATTAGGAAAAAAGAAGTATTAGAAGTATTGCGGTAGTCTTCTCTAGTAGAAGTATTTGGAAATGATCGATTTCTACAACAAATAATTTTTCGCGCAACAAAGTTCTTACAGTTCTACAAAATAATATGACATTCTTTGCATCACTCCTTCTCTTATACTGATGAGTTGAGTTTTTTATTCTTAATCATTCCAGTCTGCGGTTGGAAACCTTTTTTTATCCTTCTAATTGCCTGCAGAACTTTTATATTTCCACTTCGCTAATTATTCTCCCAGCTCTTGCCGAAAGGATTTTTTATATTGTTTTATGTACACTGTATCTTTACCTTAACCCATATTTCATTAACCCAGTTTTGGTACATATTTAATGTTTACCCTAACTAGTATCTACACCGGAGTATCATAATAGATTCCATATTTAATTAGTTTTCTTTTAGTAAAAAGTACTACGGGACGTTTATTCAATGTTTAATGTGAAAAGCGACTGGGAACAAAAAATATATTGTATATTTGAAAAAATCCTTGTCTATTCTTGTTGTTACCATGCCCCGGAAACTTATTTGCATGACCTTGGAACATTCCCCCATCACTTTGACCCCCAGCTAGTTAATAAAGAGAAATGACAGCCTATGTCTCTCACGAAGACTTTAACCAATCATTTATTTTAACACAATCTCGGGGTGTCAAATAAAATAATCAAACGAAGCTTAATTCCACATACGCAATGTCAATTCTGTCAATAGTAATGACAGATCTTCCGTTCGTTTACAAGCTTTCAATTTTATTTTATTATCTTTAACTTTCGTTTGCATTTATTCTTAGTAATTTTAATTTAAGTTGGTTACTTAGTTTTTAAAGTTTAGTTTTAGTTACCTATGGTAGCAAAGAATTTTTGTGTTGTGCTAGAAAAAAAACTAGACATGGTTTATTTTTTAATAATATATATGATATTATTTCATCGGAAAATAATACGATATTTTCCAGTAAATTTTAATTAGTAACGAAATAGTCCGCAAGAGGCACCAAAGGGAATGGAGGTAAGGGGTGCTATTTGAATTTCCCGCCAAAAAATGATTAGTAATGGTCCCAGCCGCGAGGTGCTAAAGAACGAAATTTATACATTGAGTTGCCTATCGATTTCTATATACTATATATTATTTATCTATGATTGTTACTAAAAGAACGGAAAATTTTTAAAACGTAAACATAAATCACCTTGTGAGGTCTCTTACGTCAAACTATCCCGCAGACGATGCGATAGACAAAAAGAAGACGACTTGACAGATGCCATGTTGGATTGGCCAGGTGTTGACAGCCGACATCTTCTAAAAAGGATGCAAAGATTAAAATATGCCGCTTTTTCCACGTTTGGCAATATTTTTTCATGCCAAACCTCTTCAAACTCTGCTACAGATGACTGGTGGATAAAATTTGAATTACAATGATTAATTTGTAAATTAATTAGGAATGGCGGATGACTAGTGGATAATAGCTGAATTGCCACGGTTGGCCCTTTACGTCAAAGTTTCCCGCAGACGATGTGACAGACGAAAAGAAGAAGGCTTATGATATGGTCTATGTAATAGTAGGGATAGTTACTGATATGATCTGGATGTCCATCTTCAGTTATCTAGCCAATTTCTACTCGTCGACCCCAGTTGCTGTAAGCTGGCGCACATGTCTCGAAAGGTACTCAGTGTCCTTTGTGGGGTTTCGGTACCTTTCAGTCAATAGAAACATTGTCACGTTTAATCATAAAACGTTTATATAACTTTCTTAAACTATATACCATATATCAATTCCACTTCAACTCATATTCTTAATTGAATTTTGTACTGGAGATGTTATTTGAAACATATATTCTTAGAACGCCTAAAATCTTGTGTTTAATTAAAAAAAATAAATGTCTGTATTCTAGCCCTATGCATACTTGATATCCAGATACTTATCAGATCTGATTTGGGTAGTCTAGTTGGTAAAACATTAGATTGGTAGAATAAACTTGCAATTTTAAGAGTGAATACCATGTATCCATGTAAATTTTTGTTGTAGTAATTCCAAATTATAGCTTTAGGACTTTTTATCAATATTTAAGGACAGTTGTTACTTAAGTAGAAAACTACAGCAGTCAAATAAGTCACGGAGGTGTAATTATTGTTCCTTATTTATTTCATCACAGTATTCTTGCATTAAGACAACAATTATGTTATTTCAATTGACAAGACCTATCAGCATATTATATGAGCGAAGTTCAAAATTCTTTTGGGGATAACGATACAAATTTTTAATACGATTTGATTTATTTGATTTTCTTTGTAATAAGTCGTTGGAGCTCTGGCAAATTTGAAAATATACCGTTGGGAATAAATTGGTGCATGTATTGTGGTGTTTATACTAACTTCTTAGACAACATCGGAATCAGTTCATTGTTTAGGTTTTGTGTTTTAATTTAAACTTAAGTCTAAGAATGTTTGGGTTTTGCTTTTATTATAAAAATAATTGGGTTTTATACAGGATTTAATGGTGTGCTGCACATATAACAGCAAACATATTGCATAGTATATGTGCATAATTTCATATTAATTTGTAAAGCGCTATATTAATTCATGTACAATGCACCTTTTATCTTTATTCAGAATTCCTGTCCCAGATACTTAGAGTATTGAAAGATTTTAGCTTTGAGCGGACTCGTTATATGTTCGAACTCTTGGTGACCTGGTATAAAGGAATATCTCTCACAATGCCTTGATGCATTTGGACGTTTATGCACATGGGACTTGGTATATTATGTGCCACTGGTTGGTCGGTGAACATAGTACAGTCCCAGTGTAGCTTGCAGTTGTCATTCTCAGTTATATAATAATGGACCAGTTTTTTAGCCATCTCCATCTTTTGATGGACTATTTTACATATTGTTTCTTGTTTTCTTGCAACACATGCCTTTAAGATCTTGACTGGTTTATTGGGCTTGATGTCCATGTCAAGCTTTATCGTTTTTTACCTGTGAATTTTTGACGATATAGTTCTGGTAGTTTTTGGATACACATAGTAATTTTGAATGGCAAGTAGGACACCCTCTATTTCAGGACACATATTTCCTGTTGTCAACCAACGCGGTATTGCCAAAGTAGCCCTTACTAAGTTCATTGGCAGGCCCCCCATGCAACGGTTCCTCCATCTAGTTGCACATTTTTTTAAACTGAATTAATACGGTTTTCATTTGTTAATAGCCAAGTATTCTTCTCCCACTCTAGTAACGATATACATTATCTCTTGCAATTCCTATATGTTGTCTATCATAGAATTATCAAGGATATCAAATTATTCAACTTATAAAGGTGCTTATCTTCTTAAAGTGATGTTGTCGACCACATTGACCCATCTTATTATATTCACAACAGCTCAAAATAAATTAATTGGCGATAGACCAGTTCATTTCCTAAGATTGGCCAGCCAATGCGTCCAGGACCTCTCTTGCCCTCAATCTTGCCTTGTAGATTATTTACATTATTACTATTTTTTTAATAGGAATACTATTTATTTTGATACAATTTTCGTTGTGTTGTGCAAGCTCAAATATATTTTCTACATAAATTTTGGATAATAGTAGGGGAGAATGCAACCCTGCCGCAGACCTTTGCTTATTTCCATTTGTTTTGAACACAGACTGTTGGCGATCTTAAGTTCTACTATTTTGATTCCAGTACAGTTATATCCGTGATATGTCTTTTCCATCAAGCCCAATTTTGTTTAATCTGTATCAGTAGCTTATTATTATCCAGATAATAAGACACCCTCTAAGGGGAAAATTCACTCATTCCAGATAACTACGGTAAAAGGATTGAGCTCTGGTGTGACTCTTTCCATGTTATCGAGCCCTAGGTGACTTGGTATGCTGGAGTATCTCCCAAAAATTTTCGTACACATCTGAACGTTGAGAGTAGTACAGCTTTCTGTATGGTCTTGTCAGACCTACAAGATCTACTATGAGATCTGGTCTATTATGTGCCACTCTTTGGTCTGTGAGCACAGTGCGGTCTCAGTATACCTTGTAGTTGTCATTCTTAAGTATACTTTCAGGAACGTATTGATGCTATGGGAGATGGTTTGTTTGAAGAAGTCCCAGTTTCATGACTATCTCTTGATGAATTTTCTACTGAGTCGTGCCGTTCCTTATATTCAGTTGCAACAAATGCCTGGCAGCTCCCGGTACGATGTTGGATGGTTTCTTGAGCTTGACCTCCATATCGGGATATGTCATTTTGGACCTGAGGGTCTTTGACGATAAATTTCAGGTAATTTTTGGTTGGTATAACCTGATCTTGAATGGCGAGTAATGAACCTTTTGTTTCAGGGAACATCTTTTCTGATCTCAGCCAATAGTTCGACTATATTGTGTTGTATCGTCTACTTCACAAATCGCGCGATGTAGAGTAGATGTCCCAGCCTGCACCTGAAAATAAGTTCTTAAATTAGTAATCTGTTTTTCTAGTTGCTGACTTATATAAATAAGTCCTCGTCCTCCTAAAGTCCTTCTTTCTACTGCACTTCGCGGATGGTGTTTTTGTGCCTTTGTGAGGTGTGTTCGTTTGATGTTTAAAAATACCAAATGAGTAGCTAAGTGCGGGACTAGGCGTAGGTGTTTATTAAAACGCATGGATTTCTTCTTGGCTTGGGTACGATTTATTGGCACTTTCTGCAGTAGAATTGAGTTTCCGATAGAACGCCTTCTCGGCATAGCGCATTATTATTATTAATTTAGTATAAAATATGCAAGAAAAACAGATCCATAAGTTTTATTTATATAATTTCATGCACAATCGGGAAATGATTAGACCCGATAGCACATCTTAGTCTATTTTATATTGATGCTATTTATATTCTTATTTTTGTTTTAATTTTTGGAATTATACCATTTTATTTTTTAAACAAATGATATTTATGATTTTTTTTGATACCTACTTGCAGAATAAATAGCTTTAGGTGAAATTTTTGTTCAACTTCATGCAAATTATAACTAGATTTTAACAGGAATATTTTAAAAAGCTACTTAATTGGTTCATGAACAAATGTTTTGCAGGCTTTTTATTCGAGATGATAGTAGTATATTAAAAAAGACAGGAATATAGTAAATTTTATTTTCATTGCATGGTTTAGCTTTGAGACATTTTTTAAATAATAATTTCATTAAAAATTGGAATGTTCGTTATTTCATTTTGTTTTTGGTTTTTGTAAAAACACATCGTAATCATACTTGACAGACTCTAGAATCACTATTTTTCATAAAAGCAGACGGAACGCCGCCCAACATCCACCCAGGTTGTATTTCATCGACGGGTAGAGGGCGAGTAGCCGCCAGCCCGACATCGACGCACACAGCTCAACTCATCGGTGGCGCCATCTCACCGTCTCTCTTCACATCACCGTCGCACCACCAACAGCAACCCCTAGTCATGGCTAATTACCCAGTCAGCGCCAACTTAATGATCGGCGACTACGTCAAGCCAACGATCGGTACTGTTGCGCCTGCAGTATATCGTCAGTAGTCTTTGTAGTTTCTAATTTATTTTTTTAATATTAAGGCACTTGATGAGTCCGTTAGCTGACCTACGCCGAACATTGAGAGAATGTCTTCATTTGGTAGGTGACTCGCCGTTTTAGGAGTGAAAGTGACGCGATTTTAAAGACTTACTACAAACTATTTAAGTGTTCAGAGTATATTCAGTTTTGGCTTCATGTAAATACCTCGAAAATACCAGATATACCTCTGTAATATGTTGACAAGAGCAATATTAGCTTCCTGTTATAAGCCGTGATATCTTTGTTTGACAAACGATTTGCAAAATGCTCAATTCATTAATTTAAGGTATATTTTTTATTTTATTATTAATTGACATGAAACTCAAACAGGTTTCGAGATAATTTCCTCATTGGAAAGGATTTACACAATCGAAGGACTTATTTTCACTATTATTCACCCTTTTTTCCCATGTTTCCTCAATATTCCCTATCTATCATCATCTTTCTTGCCTTTTTCCATCTGCTTCTTTATCCTCAATTAAACCATAACAATATATGAAGTGTTACATGAACATGATCTATAGTGTCAACCTACAAGACTAAAAAAATATCAGGTTATTGAATTGAACATTTTGCACTATTTATTTTCTTTTTAATTCACCAATGGAGATTATTAGATAGCTACAACCGAAACACAACTAGTTTTTATTGATTTTACTTAATAATCACAGTTTGGATGTTATCTTAGGGTAAAAGTTTAGTAAATAGTGAGTATTAGTAATTTTTCCGAATTAGGTTTTCGTAATTCAATTTTAAAATATAATTGTGACATTATATCGAATATGATTTCTATAATTTCTTTTCTTACCTACAAAACCTTTCCTTTCTTTTTAAACTTCAAAATCGCTTTAGCCGGCATGAGGTGAAGGCGAAATAAAATAAACAAAACACTTTTTATAAGTGATAAACTTTATTTTTGTTTTTTTACACACACAATTCATATTAGATGCTACAATGGTAAAAAACTTATAAATTTAATAAAAAAGCTACAAAAATTATTTATTCTTCTTTCTTGGATAATATGACAGATACAACTATGACTCTTCTTCTTTCAGTACCCTTTCCGATTATCGAACGTTGGCGATCATATTGGCAATATTGTTTACGGCGGCTCTAAATAAATTAGCAATGGTCTCTTGATACCATTCTCAGATATTTCGGAGCCAGGATGTTCTTCTTCGGCCTCCTTCCGACCATCTTACCCCGTATTATGAGTTATAGAAGGTTATACCTCTCTGGATGTCTCATTACATGACCGAAATATTTTACTTTCGAATTTTTATCGTTTTTGTTATTTCTGTGCTCTTTTTGATTCGATGTAAAACTATTTCATTTCTTATTCGATCAACCCAACTTATCCGCAATACTCGTCGAAAAATCCACATCTCAAAGGTCTCCAATTTTTTCATTAATGTCTCTGTAAGGGTCCAGCTATCCATACCATACAGCAATATGGAAAATATGTAGCAGCGTATTAATCTGATTTTAAGATTTAACGTCATATCTCTATTAATTAGAATTTTCTTTGATTTATAGAAGGCGGCTCTGGCTTTTTCAATGCGTATTCTTATTTATATCCCAGTTATAGTTAACGTTTGCTCTCAAATAGATAATATTGTGGACTCTTTCTAACTCTATTCCATACGCTCTGATGTACGTTGGTTGTAACTCCGTTTTGCTGACAACCATAAGTTTTTCTTAGAAGTAATAAGTTTTAGTCCATATTTATCACATGCTTCGGTTACCCTGTTTATAAGTCGTTGTAGGTCTTCTTCATTGGAGGCAATAAGTACCGTGTCGTCTGCATATCTGAGATTTTTGACATGAATCCCTTTGATGTTAATGCCTGTATCTTCAACTAAGGCTTCTTTCAAAATAAATTCGGAGTAGATATTAAAAAGTAGAGGCGATAAAATACATCCTTGCTTCACTTCACGACGTATTCCCACTGCTTTCGTCCTGTTGTGTCCAATTCGTATGTTTACACATTGATGCCAATACAAATTTTTGATAATACGCAGGTCTCGGTCATCAATTCTCACCTATTTCAAGACACCTATAAGTTTGTCATACTTTACTCAGTCAAAGTCCTTCTCGAAGTCGATAAAACACATATTTACCGATTGTTCGATATCCCTACATCTTTGAACCATGACCTGCAAACTGAAGAGTGCTTCTCTGGTTCCAAGGTTTTGTACTTCTATTTTGTGGTAAATTCTCGAGTGCAGTATTCTTAGGAAAATGTTTAGTACATGACTCATCAGACTGATAGTGCGATGATCGCTACACTGTTTGGCATTTATTTTTTTCGGTATCATTACAAATGTTGAAAGTAGCTAGTCTGTTGGTATAATATGTCCTGTTTAGTATATTTTATTGAAGAGGCTTCGAAGATAATGTTTGCAATTATAGTGTGCACTATGAGTAGTTTGATTATTTCGCTTGGAATTTCATCTGTGCTTTCGTATTCTTTTTCCTTGTTTATCAAGTAAACTAGTAAATCAAGTAAACTATGACTAAGCTCCTAAAACTTGTTCATATTCTGGTAGAAACTGTTATCGAGTAAATTCGCGGTAGTAAAACTAAATGGTGATCTGTCAGTCAGTTTCTAGCGTTGTTTTAGCGCAACTTCAAAATGAGGTATTTTCGCATCTTAGTTATCGAATTCCGCACATCAGTGAAACGATTGGAAGTTGGCATTAATTTAGTGTCAAATCTGCTACCTGTAAGTTAGTTTTATCCGTAATTTAAACAGGCTTACGTCCGCCACTGTTTCAGTGCGACGATTTACTTAACCAAAACCTGCACGACGAAACTTCAACATAATTGATCTTTTTCTCTTCATCTTCGGAGAATCTAATCTATGAGTAATGGTCTTTTTTTCACATTATGAGCAGTTTATCTTCTTTATTATCTGAATCCACACCACCACTGTAAAATTTGTACCCAAAAATAGTATTTTAATACTGAATAATGAAATCAGTAATTGTTATCGACAAAAGAGCGATCAGCCATGATTTATTGTCAAAAATATACATCTGACAACTTGTAAGGCTTTTTAATTAAATAAAAAACTCTTATTTCAACAAATTATAGTTTTTAAATATGACTTAATCACAAACTTGCCGAAATTGATTTTCCAGTGAGTAGACTGTTTGGCATATGTTGTTAAATGGAATCAACTTCGATTTGCGACGTAAGCTTTTAATATTTGTATTAGAACGTATCTATATTATGGTCCTTCGAACCGAATTTTAAGCCTTTGGCCAAAAATGCCGTTTAATTTAATGATTTTGTTGGCGGTAAAGTGAAGTAGACCTATTAAGTTACAAATAATATCACCCTCACATTAATCATGTTTCATTGCATGATCGTACTATGAAAAAATCATCTGAAAATCTAATTTGCAGATTTTCATTTGTCAAATTTGGTGTTCTCACGCTTTATATTTCGCATAATCTGGGACTTACTAATATAATAGAGTAATATCAACAAATGTGAAAAGTATAGTGCTCGCCACATAGGAAGAACCAGTGTAAATTCATTTTTGTACTATTGACAGCGATGTACGATACTTTGTTAAGAGTATCATCAACAGATTTTCGGCAACATTCGAAAATATTGAGATGCGTAGCGCTGGTTTGTCTTGTAGGCAATTACTATATATACTATTACACCAGTCTTAAATGTTACAATCACAATTTATCTGTTGCAATGGAACAAAATATGTTGACTTAATTTTACATATGGTCTTATATAGAATGGCTCAAAAAGATCTGCTGATAGGTCTTTTGTTGATGAAATTCAGTCATGTAAAAAATATTTCTGTACATTTATGCTAAATATAGAGATGATATACAGTGCTTTAATTGTTGAATTAGGGTAATATTTATAGCATTAAATGTGGCAACAACGCTTACCCTACACTTGCTTTTAGTTCTAATTGTTTTATTGTCGACATGAGCATCACCATACACTGTTGCCAATTTTTAGACATTCCTGATTCAACAATGGCGTTGTATTCGTATAAAATTAAATTTTTAACCTATTATTGGAAGAACAGAACATATACTGTATGTTAGGTGTTAAGATCAGAAAATTGCCATTATCATACTAATGTTTATTAAAACATATGAATAGATTAAATGAAGCATTAACTTAAGAACACTCAATCATATTTCTTCATGTTTAAGTACATGTTCAACTCAAATGCATAGGAAAGATGTATCAGACGAAAAATACTATTAATTAAAAATTTTTGTAGCAATTGAAGAAGCTTCTTTGAGACAACATTACACGAGAAAACCAGCATACTTCCTTTAATTAAGTTTCCTAGCTTTAGTCGATCCACAACTTTTACGCGAATATCTGTTGTACGAAGATCTCGGGAGACACCAACAATATCTGACCTTGAGCTTGTTCTGGTTGTTTTGAGACCTATTGATTGTCATAGAGATAGCTGAATTGACAGGAAACTGACGACCGGGAAGCTTGAGTTGTAGTAAATCACATGAGTTCCAAAAGTCAGGAAAATTAATTGCCTCTGGGTCACACAGTTTTTTTCTCATATTTAAGTTCTCCAGCAACATAATTATCATATTGAGCTTAAGCTCGAGGTGATGTGATAGCATTCCAGATGTTTGCAACTCTCATAAGTCAAAAATTTAACCAACGATTTGTTCTGCTCTTCTGAGTAAATGTAACTTTCAATGATTGTTTTGGTTTGTCCCTTATTTGTAACTAGTGATTTTCCCCGCCAACAAGCTACGGGGGATCCAATCAATTACCATTTACAGTCACTCCACTCTTTTTTTTCTAGATTCCTCCTATTTAAGGCTATACTACGTTCCACGTTTAGAAAATAACATTGCGGAGATAGGACCATGTATTTCTTATGGACGATAGCAACGCGGCGTTGCCACGACACACACAAGCACAATTTAGGGTTGTATAATTTGTATTTTCG